CTTCCTTTTTTTTCCCTGTTTCTCAATCCTTTGCTCCTTCCTTTCTTTTCCTTCTTTCCTTCCTATTCTCCTTTTCTACCTCAATCCACATCAGCACTGTGTTTTCTAACCCATATTAAGAACATGATGAGGGCTGGTGGAGTGGCTCAAGTGGTAGAGTGCCTGTCTATTAAGCATGAGGCCTTGAGTTCAAACCCCAGTAGCAAAAAAAAAAAAAAAAAACAAACATGGTAATATGGGTCTTTTTTAAATTATAGTTTCCCCATATTCATATCATAAATAGTATCGACATTTGTAGTAGTCAAAATAATGCCCTTTCCAAGATGTCCACATCCTAATCCCTGGAACCTTTGAATATGTTGCTTTATATGAGAAAAGAGACTGCAGATATGATTTAGGATAAGGACTTAAGATGGGGAAATGGGTTATCCACCTGATGATTAGCATCCTTAAAAGTGGAGAGGTGTTCCTGGCCTGTGGTTAAAGACAGACGTGACTGCAGAGCAATGGTCAGGGAGGACTTAATGTTGCTGGCTTTGAAGATGATGAAAGGTGGCCGTGAGCCACAATGAATAAAAATAATGAAAGTCAGTAACCTTATTCCTGATCTTAGTGGAAAAGCTTTAATTCTTTCATCACCATAGCATCAACTGAGGGCTTTTATATCTGCCTTTTATTATGTTGAGGTAGTTCCCTTCTGTTCCTAGTTTGTTGAATATTTTTATCATGAAAGGGTGTTGAGTTTTGTCAAAGGATTTTTCTGCGTCAGTTAAGATGACCATGTGATTTTTCCCTTCACTCTCTATGTGGTGGTATCACATCCATTGGTTTTTGTATGTGGGACCATCCTTATATTTCAGGAATAAGTCCTTCTTAGTTATGATGGATAATCCTTTAATGTGCTGTGGAATTCTGTTTGTTAATATTTTGTCTTTTTTTTATATCAGTATTCATCAAGGATATTTGTTTGTACTTTTCTTGTAGTGTCTTTGTGTACTTTTGGCATCAGGATAATATTAACCTCATAAGATGAGTTTGGAATTATGCTCTCCTTTATAATTTTTTGAAAGAGTTTAAGGAGGATTGATTTTAATTGTTCTTAAATGTTTGGTAGAATTTACCAGTGAAGCTGGGTCCTGGACTTTTGTGTTGTTGGGAGTAAATAGATACTTAAAAAAAATCATATTTTAAAATTATGTAGAGCCCCATTCAAACTTTACCACCTATGTCTGTGTTTTCCTTTATGGCTTAGGAGTCAATTCAGAATCAGTGATTACATTTAGTTGTCAGGTTCTTTTTTCTTTTTTTTTTAGGGATAGGGAAAACACAATCTTTACTAATATTTATGCATATCACAGAAAATAGGTTGCTTAGTATTGAACAAGTTAATTGAGTATAGTAGCAATCTCAGCAGGCAGAGAGGGGCCTAGGGCAGAAGAATTAGAGGACAGAATGGACTACATCAGGAGACTGTCTTAAAAAAATTAAATAGCTCATTTAACACTTAAGTTCAAGTTGCAAATTTCTGAAAAATGCATGAAGTATTATCTTGTGTGAAAAACAAGAGCTAGGGCTGGTGGAGTGGCTCAAGTGGTAGGAGTGCCTGCACAGCAAGCATGGGGGCAAGAAAAGAGGAAGGTAGGGTAAGAAAGTAATTGAGGGTGTAATTTGATCAAAGAACTTTATATGTCATGCTCATTTAGTTTTTGTCTATCTGAATGAGTTCTTCCATCTTTATCTTTCCTGCTCTTAACCAATTTCAAGGGTACAGACCTTTATTCTGTAAGATGTCCCTTAACCAGGATGTGTTCTATATTTCTTCCTGCCCAGATTTGGGTCTTCTGTTGTCAGAAATGATTGTTATGCACTTCTCAGAGCATAATGTCACTAATTCCACCATGGTCAAGTTAGTGTTTGCCCCATCAAATTGACTAGTATTGTGAGAGCAGGGGAAAGGAACTGTCATAAGTTTATCATGTTTTCAGAATCCCTGTTCTAATTTAGATGTTCTTATTAAGAGTCACCAGGAATTTTTATTTTTAAGAAAAGTTTTTAGGTTAAGAGGAAACATAACAAAGTTTTGTTATGCTCTGAGGCTAGTGTCAAGATTTGGCTATTATTATTATTTTTTACATATGCTAGCCAGTTATTCCACACTTGTTTATTTAAGTTTTGCTCTAAAGTTTAATAATCACTGTCTACCTTCTAAGAATATTACAGTAATTGCTTTTTATTCATTGTAAGGAATTTATAACAGTATATTTTTATTTTCCCATTCTTTTTTGGGTATTTTTGCTGTATGTTTTATACATGCTTGTTAGACAGCTGGTGGTTTTAAAAGAAACATATTTTTTTACATAGCCTCTTAAGTGTGAAGCCCTGAGTACCATACCCCCAAATAAATAAATTCAGTCAGTAGGTTCCAATGAATAAGATTTAGCTTTTAAAAATTATATTTGAAAACCTGTCACAGATCATCTGTTATGCATCACATTTTCTTATTTTTAAAAAGTTTTTGAAACTTAAAAACCTTTTTTGGGTCTTTGGATTACATTATTTAATTAATATACTTTTGGTATTTCTATAAAATGTTTTCCTTTTTTTCTTCCCCAGCAACTCGTTTTCATCCTGTTGGTTTCATCTTAATGCCAACATCATGTCTGGTTCTAATGGTGCCAAAGATAATTCCCATAACAAGGCCCGGACATCTCCTTATCCAGGTTCAAAAGTTGAACGCAGCCAGGTTCCTAATGAAAAAGTGGGCTGGCTTGTGGAGT